GCGCGGGGGGCCCAGCCGGTCCCGGGCACCGCGGCTTCCCCAGCAGCCTTTCCACCGGCTCCTCCTCCGCTCCGCCTATCTCGGCCCGGCTGCCCCATCGCTCGCCCTGCCCGCGTCCCTGTCCCATCGCGTCCCTCTCCCCGTGTCTCAGGCCTCTCCCCGCCGCCTTGGCTCTCTCACCGCCGTCTCATGCCTTTCCCTCCGTCTCTTGTGCAGGTGCCCCGTCCTCACGCTTCACCATCCTGAGAAGTGCAACTCTGGACCGGGCACAGGCTACAAGCAGGTTGGGTAGGTCGCTGTTTTGGAGCGCAGAGAGCGACACAAGCTTCACTGATTTGCAGTGACTACAGTATAGTCTTCCTGTTGTCTGTTTTTCACCATCCCCTTCAAACATCCATTGTAATTTTCAGGATTAAGCTCTGGCCCAATATCTATCCTGATACAACATCCATTTTCCAGTAGCAAAGAAACCGAGGCATTGTAAAGCGCTTTACATTACATTCAGGGACCTCAAAGTATCCCCTACACCAGAGAAAGCACAACATTTTTGCTACAAAATGTTTGGAAAATGGAGCATTCTTTGCCTCTAATATTTTCTTTTAATTACTTTTTCAGGGTGAATGAAAGGACATTTAAAATGGACCTGGATTACAGGGGCTGGCTGGCCAACCTGCATATAGCAAGTTACAATCCAGCCCAAGTTAGTTCTGACCAAGAAGCCATCACCAGCTAATTGCTGCCTGGCATTTTGTGTAAAATGCTGGCTTTGTGGCAGAACCCATTCAACTCAATAAGACAATTACTAATTGGAACCTGCCCCCCCCCCTTGCATTACATAGCAGTCTCAGAAAAGAAACTGGTGTTGAAAGATACAAAGAATAGATTAGCGTAGGAGTAGTCCTCGTAACTTTGAGTAGAATCAGTGTATTTTTGAATCATAGAGAAATGTGCACTGTTACATGCTTGTTTATGCTCTGTAAGTATAACATGCCTTTCAGAAAACACATCCTTTTTCAAAAAATCTGATCACCATGAAGTCGTTGCTTTTGTTATTTTACTTTCAAAATATTTTCAGACTGAAAAGAACAGCTTCTTGGGGAGAAAAACATAACTTTTTGAAATTATTTCAGTGTTCTGAAAGCTAACATCAGAAATCATACAGGGCAGTTTTATAGAAGCAGTGGCTTCACATAAACCCTATTCAATGTAGTGTGTATTTTCTATGTTATTCTTGGCAAAATACTACTGGCTGATAGACTGCTTTGGGAGTCTGCCTTTTATTCCTTTAAGGAGAAAATAATTTTTCATTTTTTTTAAAGAATTATGGCATTGTGATAATAGCTAACATTTTAAAACTTAGATGTCATGTATGCACCTCTATATACAGTCAGGAGGTTAATCAGAATGATACACATCAAAGTATACTTGTTATGTATAGGAATATTTCTTGAACAGCAGTGTCTCACACTGTTGATACTGCAGGGGAACGGACTGTTTGACCAGCAAATAGCAAGAATTGAAGGTGTCTTTGTAAAACCTATCAGTGGAACCGATGTTAAAAGAATGCTCTCAAAAGGTGCTATCCAGGTCTGTTATGACATGGTGTTAAAACAAATAATTTGAAGTGCTTCTCTGGCTACCAAGTTTGTGTTTTACATGCTACAATATTTCTTCCTTCTCCCAAGCCTTCCTTTTCTCAGAAGAGACAGAAGTTCACCTCCAGCACTGTTCATCTCTGTGCTTATTTTGGTTTTCCCCTGATTTTTCATGCTTAGTCAGCTAGTTATCATGTCTGTTTATTGCCACTGTCTTCTTTTCTCATTTCCACTTCCTCAAATGCACGCAGCATTCATGGCCTGCATCTTTACAGAAATGTGCTCCAAAGACTTGTTCCCTTGCAGTGGCTTGCCTCCTTACTACTGCTTCAGGACCAGGAGAGGTGAAGAGCCACAGACGGCAGGAATAGCGGGGGTCCTGAAAGGAAAGCAGCACCGAGTAGTTTCCACAAGACCAACTCGCTGCTGCTAATGACTTGTCTGCTAAAATTCTACACTAACAAAGCCATGTGACTGTAAATACCTGTAAATTCACCAGAAATATAAATGTTTGCTACTTTCATTATTTGTCTAAATGTTAGCAGTTAAATGTTGTCCAGGTTTTCTGTTGTCTTTCCTAATTTCATTTTTATGACCTGCCAAATGTACTCAATTCTTCAATGGTTATGGTAATTATGCTGAATTGCCATTGTTTAAAGAAAACATTTTGGGTTCTTTACCTTTAGGACATTTATTGCACTATTGATTTACATTGGCTTCACATGATTTCTATGAACTTTCACTGGAAACTTTTGCTATTTTCTTCATATGATTCTGTCCATAACCTTAATGCCCCATCCCTAGAAGTGTTCAAGGCCAGGCTGGATGGGGCTCTGAGCAACCTGATCTAGTGGAAGATGTCCCTGCCCATGGCAGGGGGGTTGGACTAGATGGCCTTTAGCGCTCCCTTCCAACCCAAACTGTTCTATGGTTCTGTGATTCATTCATTTCCTTTTGCTGTCAGATTTTCTCACAGCATTTGGATGCTTTTCCCGATATTGCTATGGTATCACATTTTTTTCAATAAGAACATTTCAGAGTATGCCCTATGAAATTTATTGACATTCTAGTGTTGTTGTCATTTAGTCATTTTGATTTATTCATGTTGTTGTTGTGGCAATCACCATTACAGAAAAACAGGTTTTCTTATGGTATTTCCCCAGCTAATTTTCATTTACAAGCCATTAGAAATGAAACCGACATTTTCAATTCAGATCTAAAAATGACATTTTTTTATATTCAGTAAGCTTTTACTGAATATAAAAATTTCAAAAAGCAAACAGTATGAATAGATTTGTACTTCAGAATAGACCTATTTTGAACCAAACAATAAAACACTGGAGGGTTTGATTGACACTACTGCATTTTTTAAAATTCAACCAGAACTTGCAAATATAATATTTGAGAGCTCAAATTATTTTTGTGTCTATTTCCTTGCTCTGTTCAAAAGCTGTGGATGAGTAAAAGCTGCACATAACACAAGTTCTCAGCTGTCTTGCTTTGCAGCACAATTCATGTAAATAGAATTGTACTGAGAAGTCTGATTGTAATGCTGTAGATTTGCATTTAATTTTTTAAGTAGTTCCTGAGCCTTTGTTTGACCATTGAAACATTCAACTGTACACTTTTAAGTAGTAAAAATTTTTGATAGGCCCTTCAAAATATTTCTGATGTTGTCGGTTTAAATAAAAATAAAAAATGCTGTATGAGAAACAAGACAAGTACACAGCCTCCTCAAACACTACAAATATCAAAATCACCAACCTTTTTTTATGACCACCTTTTCTTAAAATAATCTTGAAGCATGGCCTGAAGGTTGACAAAATCTGAGTTCCATTTCTCAGACTGAAGTGTTCCATTTGTGTGTCAAGAGCGCTCCGTATAAACAGTGCCATAAAGTCAGTGACTTAATGTTTACACCTGGGAAAGGACAGATTGATTACACCAGAAAACCTGAATTAGTGTCTTAGTCCTTTCGTGCAGTGACCACAGTATTGTTCTACACAGGCTCTTTGAGAACAGAGCTTAGAAGTTTAAAATGTTTTATTTTTTTCAGTTAATCAATGCCTGACAATTTTATACTATCGTTGTTTATGATATGATACAACCAAAAATGTGATTCACTTTTTATAAACAAAGAGGAAGAGACTACCTGCTTCAAAGAGCTTGTGCACTCATGGTCAAAAAAAAAAGCAGCTTGCATAAGGAGAGACTTAGAGGCTATAGGAGAGGCTTAGAGGCTTTTGATTCTATTACAGAAATAACAGGTTGCTAAAAAAAAATTAGACCTCGGTAACTGCATTTTGCAATTGCTGCACTAAAAAGACCCCCATGTTTTCAGGGTGTAGTGTGGAGGATAAAAAAATAGTAGTGTCATGCAAGTAACAGCACATTCTTGGTATGTTACAGTTCTTGGAGATATATACTTCTGTGGTTGCATCCCTATTCTGTAAATATTTAGACCCCTAGTTAGCATGCTAAATTTCACTTAAATTAGGATGCCAGCAGACATTAAATATGCACTTCTCAGAGATCATAATTTTGAAGTACCAGCTAAGTCATGAAAGCAGCTAGCACTAGGGATGTGGTCTGATCGTAAATGTTCACATCTGAGCCAGGTGATTAGGCTTCTTTGGTCAGGTAAGAGTCTTAGATATCTGTGGCGACAGTTCAATTCATCTTCTGGAGCTCTTCAGAGACACTTAATGTCTTATTAAAGATATAAAGGACTTCTGTGATCTGAAGCACTCTGATAAAGAGCCATGATTTCTTGGCAGTGCAATGTCTAAGATCGATGCCTAAAGTAAGAGGTCTGAATAGAGTCCTAAATCCTTAAAATGCAGTATCAATGTGCTCTACTACAATGATTAAAAACATTATAAGAATCATAGTTTTGGAAACTGCATGGGAAACTACTTTCTTTTCCCCTAAGCAAGGCCATGCCACAATGTAATTAATCTCTGTCATCTGTTATCAGGTGTTTTGTTAGCTTAAGCTAAACCATCACATTAAAAAAAAGCTACCAAAATTGTTGGCTTACTAAATACAAGGGTGCCTTGAAACAAATGTAAATGCAAAAGGGATCTGCAAACAGCAAGGTATGCGGCAAAGAAAGTAAGCAATAGAGTTATAAAAGGAGATGAGGGAAAGGAAGCTAATTGCAGTGCACATTACATTATTTCTTGTTCTCGGGTGCTAAAGTTGCCGCAGGGATAACATCGATACGGGAGGTAAAGTGGACTCTGAGACACTTTTCTCTTTATAAATTGTCCAAAGGGGGGAAATAGATGAGTTATATTCATTATATTCATGAAGGTGATAGCTGCTCCTGGGACAGAAGTCATATATTTTATTTATTGTTCTTTGTTTATACTTTGGCTAACACTCACCGAACTGCAGAACATAATACGCTTGTAGCTGAGAAAATAAGCAGCAGCATGAGAAGTAAGAAAAAAGAGAAGAGAGATGCTTTCTGATTTTATGCTCTACAGTGAATGTCATTGCTTGCTGGACGACATCCTCAAAAACTTTC